TTAATACATAAGTAGTTTCTTCACATTACTCCTGTAGCAATTGCCTGTGCTGTGACCCAGCCTCACCTTGGGAAGCAAAGGAAGGAGAGAACACTGACCCCTCCTAACCAATCCGACCCACATTTGCCCTCCTCTTCCTCCGTCTACCACCAAGGATGCTACCCAGAACTCATGATATTCACCTGACTGGCCCTAGGGCCAGGTTTGTCCTTCAGCATCCCATCCCTCCTTTGCTGATTCGCTATCCCATCGCTTCACCAGTCCCTCAGTACTGCTCCCTGACACTCACCAACCCCTCCTGCAGTACCTCTTCTGTGATAGCATTCACAGAATGCTTCCTCTCTATCTGAACCTACCTAACCTCTTCCCTTAGGAGGATGTACTCTACTGAATGATACTGAGTTAATCAGATATTTAATTCCATGCTAATATGTTAACTAGTTAACATGCGGTATCAGAGCATGGTACTGTAGCTTAAAGGCAGCTGGATGCCTTAAACCAATTAAAATATACAAGTTCCTTGTGAATATAATGGTAATCATTTTAGGTGCATTAGAGGGCAGACAGTTTTGATCAAAGGACCCTTTTTCCATTAGATCATGTCATGTTGGAGCTTTTTTTTTAATCTATATGTAAGAGCAGGCAAGAGGACAAAAGGCTGTTTTTTTTTGAGAAGCCAATGAGATGATGTCTGGTTATTTTCCCCTTAAATAAGTAATTAATTCTTTCTATAAACTAAAATACAGACACTTTCATATTACCAAGATTAGTATTAGGACAGAATAGCCTGTGGACCATCTGTGGAATTTTGCAGGAGCCAATGAGGCCTCCCAGACCACACTTGGAGAATTTCTGTTCTGACATTTGGTACTTCTTTTTCACAGGATGGGTGCGACTACATGGTCTCAGACCTGTAGTGCTTATTAAAACAGCCTCCTATGGATCACAGCACTTTGGTCTGTTCTAAAAGGGCTTGGGTATTTTCTCCCTCTATAATTATGGGAGAGATGCTGGGGTGGTTTTTTTATTATTAATTTTTTTAGGGAAGGAGATCTATGCTCTTTATTTGGAGTATTTGAATCATTTCTAAAATAGCCATCATTTTGTGGTACAGAGGACTTTCTTTCATAACACTGGTTTTCAGGTAAAGGACTAACACACTAATCATGTTATGTCTAGACCATACTGTATGTAGTTATATCCCAGAGATCGCGATGGAGGCTATGGTGTGATTGAGTCAGTGTCTATAATGAGCTGTGCTGTGATGGGGTTCCACTTTAGAATACTAATATCTCGCCTTTGAGGAATTTGTTATCCAAAAACCTAGCCCACCCAAAACACAGCAAGGACTAGGAAGTAGATGTTTCAGAATAGCCAAAACAGTTTTCACTGAATGTGTCTGTGAGGAACCAAATATTTCACTCATAGAATGAATTGCAATAGCCTTGTAATTGACCTTCCTGCCCCAAGTCTCTCCTCCCTATCCCAAGTTATACTACACACAGCTGCTGAAGTGATTTTCACTCCCTGACTCAATAAACTCTCCTGACTCCCCATTACCTATAGGAACAAATATGAGCTTCTCTGGTTGGCATTTAAAGCTCTTCCCAATCTCACCCCAACCTACCTTTCCAGTCTTATTACATGTTACCCTTCTTCACTGTACGGTCCAACCAAACTGACCTCCTTATCATTCCTGACACGTGGCTCTCCTCCTCTGGTGTCCATACCTTTACATTGCCTCCCCTTCCATGCCTGAAATATACTCCACCCTCCCTCACCTTTCTCTCTTAGAATTCATTATTTTAAAAGTTTTTTTTAAGTCCCCAGGTTGCATATAAATCTCCATGAAGCCTTTCCTGATCCTCTTAGCTAATAGCTCCCCTTCCCCTCATGTATCTATTTTTTTCTTTTTTTTTTGTGAATAGCATTTTATTTTTTCCAATTACATGTAAAGATCGTTTTCAGCATTCATTTTTTATAAGATTTTGAGTTCAAATTTTTTTCTTCCTCTCTCTCTTCCCTCCCCGCTCTCCAAGATGGCAAGCAATCTGATATGTTATCTCATATCTATTTTTATATATCTACATATGTGTATTTCCAGGCCAGACTGAGAGCTTCTTGAGAGCAAGAACTATTACATTTTTGTCATTGTCTCCCCAGTACCTAGCATGATGCCCAGCACAGAGTAGGGACTTAATGCATGAGTGTTGACTGTTGATCCATGGAAGCCTCTCAGACCAGTAGTCAGAGCCTACTTGCACAAGATCCTAACAAGCCTTCATAACTGACTCTCGGAATCTGCAGTGAATTAGAAAGAGAAGAGAGGGCCTGGCCAGGCATACTGACAGCTGTGAGAAGTGACAGAAGGAAAGACATTTTAAAACTATAAACCTCTGATGGGGCAGTTCAAAAAGGCCCTCAGGCTGGATGTTGAGCCTAGCACCCTACACGCTTCAATAGATAGTGTGGGTCTCACTGTACTTACAGGAGGATAATTGGTATCCTTAATTAACAATAACTCCATGTCATGGAGAAGAGATTAAATGTGTTCAGAATGTAGTAAATAGAGGCAAGATAACAAGAGATCCATCCTCAGATACAGGAAGACCTGGGTTCAAGTCTGGCCACGTGACCCTGGGCAGCTTAACCTATCTATAAGTGCTCTAGGCAAAGGTCTAGGATTCTAAGTTGCTAGGAAGCTGCTGCTCTACATTGGTAGAGGGAGTTTCCTTACCTAAGAGTTCCCCAGAGTAGTGAAATCAAAAGTATAGTCCCTTTGACTACAATAATAATAAACATTTATGCAAAGTTTACAAAGCACTTTATAAGCATTTTCTCATTTGACTCTCACAACAACCCTGTGAGGGATTATGTCCGTTTTGCAGATGAGCATACTGACACTGAGAAGTTAGATGACTTGCCCAGGGTCACACAGCCACTAAGTATCTGAGTTAGGATTTGAACTCGGATTTTCTTGTCTCTATCTGATTCTTCATCCAGTAAACTACCCAGATGCCTCTTTTACGAAGGATAGGGGGAGCGTGTAGTGTTTCTTTAGGATCTCCATTCAAAATGATTTATGTAAAAGATGTTTCTGATGTCTAAAGTGGTAATCCTTCTACTATCCCGAGCAACCCGTTCACCAAGTTTTCCATGTAATTGAGGTTTTTCTGTACTCTATATATTCAGAAGAATGGTTTTTTGTTAACAGCACATATCACTACAGTAAGGATTCTCCTTCTGCAACAGATTTTTGAAACCAATAGTTAGAGCTGTGTGAAGTTATCTGTCTGGCTAAATTGACAAGGATTTTGAGGGGATCACTTTTAGGGGTAAAAATCAAAGAAAGTAGATTCAGAGAAAATCCAGTCCTTATAGTCTCATCCTTGACAACAGATTTAGAAAATGGGAAATCAGTATGTAAGTTGGGTTGGCCAGTTGCATTTTCTCTGAATAAGCCACAGTCTCCAGGCTGATTTCCTGGTTCACGTTAATTTTGCACATAGGGAAAGTCTTGTGCACAACGTGGCAGGTTTTCTGCCCTAGGCATGTAACAAATGGGTCTGGATCAGATGAGCCGGAACCCGCCGACCTGCTGGGGTTCTCAGTGCAGCAGTTGGAGTTTCTGTGGCAGTGAGAGCTGATTTTTTTTTAATCTTTGTGCATCATCCCATTTCTGCTACCTGCCTGCCTGCCAGCCAGGTGCTTTCTCTGTACTTAGGCAGGTACCACTGTAAATGTGCAGCATGGTGAGCTCACTAGAAAGGCCCTCTAGTGGGCCGGCCCCCAGGACACCCTGGGAGCCCAGTGGGCAAAGCCCACCAGGCTGCCTTTTTGTTTCCACTCTTTCCATCTCATTGCACCATAGCAAACAGTGTAGCCAATGCCCTGAATACAAAGTACACAGGAGTGGGAAATCGCACGTAAGCATAGCTAAAGCACTGTGACCAAAAGAGAGAGAGAAAGTGGGAATAACTTAGTATGGCTTGCCGTATCAATGGAAGCTAGAGCATAGGAGTTTCTGAGTCAAGAGATCACTTGATATGTGTGGAGAGAATTGACAAGTGGCATGAACCATATGTGCTTCTAAGGAGCAAATGTTTGCTAGAAATTATCCTATGAATTAAAGATAAAATCTCAACAGGTGTGTAGATAGGGGAAGGGAAGGCAATAAACATTTATTAAGCACCTACTATGTGTCAGGCACTATGCTAAATGCTTTACAAATATTATCTCATTTGGTCCTTACAACAGCCCTTAAGATAAGTGATATTATCTCAATCTGGAGGAAACTGAGGCAAAGAGAGATTAAGTAACTTTCTGACAGACCCACAGTTAGGAAATGCCTGAGGCTGGATTTGAACTCAGGTCTTCTGACTCCAGGCCCAAGGTACTCTAGCCACTATACTACATAGCATAGAAGTACATGCTTATTTCCAAAGACAGTTAATTCTCTTGGAGAATTAGTTAATCCTAACTTTAGAGCGGGAAAAAAAAACAGTCCTCAGCAAGTTCCAGTGAAGTTTCTTAGTCCCCCTTTTGTTCCTTTTTCAATCTTATTCTCTCCTAAAATCCTCCATATTCTAACCTCATGTGTCTTTATTTTTATTTCATCTACTCTGATTCATATGGGTGGTTTCTTTTGGGGAGGGAAGTTAAGATGGCATTTAGCAGCAGCAAGGTTTGAATCTGGCCTCAGACATTCAGTAGCTGTGTGACCTTGAGCAAGTGACTTGACTTCTCTGTGCCCCAGTTTCTGTATCTGTACAAGGAAGAGGGCAGTCTTCTAAGAGTGCACAGGGTGGTAGAGGGAGAGACAGGGAATATTGTTTAAGATGTGTACTTGTTTGTTGGGCTTTTCTCCAGAAACATCCAAATTTCACCATTAAAAAGCTTTTGACTGTGGGAGAAAAAGGGTATGGGATAAGGAGGCATGTGCCCACGTTTCCCTTTCTGGCTTCTCATTGATCTCGTGTCAGTTTTTCTCTCACATACAGGTTTTGATTGGAATTTAGTATTCAAATGGGATTACATGACCCCGGAGCAGAGAAGAGCACGCCAGGGAAATCCAGTTGCTCCCATAAAGTAAGTTCTTTCACATCATTTAAAGATGTTTCAAAAGAAAAAAACAGTTCTAGCCCCATCTTCCACCACTGAGTTGCCATCTGACCCAGCCCAGCATTTTGCCTCTCTGTCCCTCATCTTCTCCACCTTTAGGTGATAAAGTGTTTTGAAATTTTTAAGAGAAGCCCAGCCTGTCTATATCCACCAATTTAATTTGCCAGATCTGTTTTTCCTTAGCGTGCTGTAAAAAAATACCAGGCACCACAAGGGCCATAAGCGGGACTTTGTTTTTAAAGATGGTGACGTTAAAGATGGTTGCTCCCAGGCTTGACTTCCGTAGGTCAACAGGTTATGTTTTGGACGTCCAGTAGTGATGGTGGCTTGCTTTTTAACTGTTTGCCTTCTTTCATTTTGTGACATCCTGCCCACGTATCATGAGAAATCAGTGATTAGGCGTTAGGGTTCCTTCAGAGGCTAGCCTTTGGAGATCAGATTGGTTTTTGAGCACGTTGCGTAGCCTGCTGCTGGTAACAGCTTACGTGAGGACAAAGTGTCAAGTTCTGTGATCCCCCATTTTGCAGATGAGGAGGCTGATCCATAGAGAAACAACTTGTCCTGAGTAAGTCAGCAAATCTTGCCCCATGGTTTTCAGCATCCCTGTGTAATGTATAATGTCAGGTCGGTGAATTGTTGATCTGCTGTGCCCACGGTGGCAGAAGACAAAAGCTGAAGCTACTTGAATCTTGAGTGTGGTATTATGGCTGGAATTTATTTTGAAAGTCAATTTGTAGTTCAGATATTGTGGACAATGATGAGCGAACACTTCTGACTTTGATCTCCAATCTCTTCCTTCCTTCCCTCCCATCTCCATTTCTGCTTCTTTTAGAACCCCTATGATTGCTGGCGGATTGTTTGTGATGGATAAATTCTACTTTGAAGAACTGGGAAAATACGATATGATGATGGATGTCTGGGGAGGAGAAAACCTAGGTATGTGTCTTATTTCTTCAGAATTCCTACTCTCTTAATAGAAAGCAGTTTCTAATTTATGTGAGCATGGGAAGCTTGGATTCTTGGAAAAATCTAATGGGAATGGACTCATGGACAACAGATTCTCACCTAAGAGATGTTGAAAAAGGAACAGAAATGGTGGTCTGGGCTGTGGGAATTGAAGATCTGACTAAAGAAATAGCACGCTCTTGTTAATGTTGGCCTTGTTGTGAATAAGGAGCTGGAAACAAGGTGGGGACAAATTACAGAAGCAGAGATGTATATATTTAGAGTGAAATTTGAGGTTGGGGAAAAGTAGGTTTTCTACAAGTTTTGTAGGAGACCATTCCTGGGAAGAAAATGCCCAGCAAAACCTGGTAAAAAAAATGGCCAGTTCCCCATCTCTGAAACAAGATAGTGATCCTTGGGATGTGATAGAGTCTCAGTCATCAAGTGAGCTAGAGTTGAGGTCAATGAGTATAATCCTTTCCTGAATACTTGTGCAAAAGGCTCCTAGTTTTATTTGATTAAAAAAAATTAGACCTTGTAAATCATTATTACCTGGATGCAATTTAATTTCACAGATCTATATCTGTGATTCAGTAGCTGCACCACAGTTAGAACTGAAAAGGTTTTTTTTTTTTTTGCTTGAAGCCATTAATTTCAAGTACTTACTTCTTCTGAGCTTATTATCCTTGGCCACTGAGTTCTCTTTTATTATCTTTTGCCTCTGGGTGAATCCTTTTGCTTGTGCATTTGGGAAAGGGAGAAAAATCTGATGATACTATTACTTTGAATAGGATTTTTTTTTAAGTTGTAATACAGAACCAAAGATGGGCTTTTTTCCCTTCATTTAAGAAACTGGCATAATGTTTGTTTTTTAATCATTTTGATGACTTGAAACTTTTGCTGACACCGTGCATAATTTTTGGAGCATTTCAGCTGCTGCAGAAATTTGTATGTGCTGAAGACATTTGTTCATGAAAACTCAGTGACTGGATTGAAAACAAAATGCCTAAATTTTTTTTGTAAATAAGCTTAATCTTTTGAGCTTATTTAGATTAAAAATATTTGGGCTCAGTATCAGAGAAAAAGCTGGTTTTTCTAGAACTGTATACAGCTGATTAAAATTCTAGAAAAGAATTCCAAGTTACTCACCTTTTATGGAAAGGCCACTTCAGAACACATTTCAGCATGTGGTGGTGACTATACACCCAATCTAAAATACCATGTTTTAGGAAACAAGGCAATGCCTCGAGAGTAGCTATTTCTATCAACAACAATACAGACTGGGTGTGTAGCACTGTGCTGTATGTTGACTAGTTCTTCCAAAGTGAATCTGATTCTTGCCAATTAGGATCTTGTGACATGATGCAGAGACAGCACTTACCCCAAAATGAAAGGAGACCTTTCACTCAAATGCCAGAGTGAAAGAAAGAGATTTGTTTATAGTTGCTTACTTCATTCTTGTTTTGGTTTCTATGCTTCTGTACTTGTGCTGTTGAAATTATCGCGCTAGGATCATAGGTCTTGGAGTTCCAGTTCTGGTGTTTACAAATTGTGTGGCCGTGGGCAAGTACCCTCATCTGTCTCAGGTTCCTTCATCTGTAAAATGGGTATAATAGTACCAGAACTAGCTAGATCACAAAGCTGTGAGAACAAATACTTTGCAAACTTAAAATACTATATAAATGTGAGTTTTATAGTAAGAGACTTGAGAGTGGAATAAGGTACGTGCAAAAGGCAGAATATTAGGAAAGAGTCAGTAGACCAAGAAGAAAGCTGGGTCCAATGCCTTAGCATTCCTTCTGCATTAAAATCTCTTTCTCCTGTTGGAGCCAATAGGGTTGGCTCTCTGGGAGCTTTCTGCTCCAGATTTTCTGATGGAATTGGGCCCTGCCTTTCAAAGAATGCATAAACTACAGGCTACCTCCCTCTTCGTTGTTGCTATGGACTTTGGCTGGAAACCATACATAGCACAGGTAGCCCAGTCATTGGATTGTTACCTGTGAGATGAGTCATCCATGGTGACTGTGCAGTGATATATGCCCAAACCTAATTATAATTGAAAAATTTCAAACTTCTCCACCTAACCTAGGCAATCCTTCCATTAATTTTTAATTTTTCTGTGTATTGAAACTTTCGGTAATTTCAGTACCTTTTGGTAATTTGAAAAAGTAAATTTATGTTCAGGGTCTCTACAATGCAGAATCAGGATTTCTTGGGACAAGGGAATAAGTAGGCCTTTAGGTGGCACAGTGGATAGGACGCCAGGTCTAGAGTTCAAATCTGGCCTCAGATACCCTTTTTGCCTCAGTTCTTCATCTATAAAATGAGCTGGAGAAGGAAATGGCAAACCACTCCAATATCTTTGCCAAGAAAACTCCAAATGGGGTCGTGAAGAGTTAGACACAATTGAAAAATGATTGAACATGTATTTTTCCCAGGCAGACTAGACTGTATAATTAATCCTCAATGTGGGCACCTTCTTGCCAATCTTGAGGTTGTATTTAGTTAAAGTAGGTAATATGTGTAAATGTAGTTTTATAAAGCCTTAAAATCATTAATAGTATATTCTAGTATAACAGAAACACCATTGAATATGGAGTTAACGAGGTCTGGGTTCAAATTCTAACTGTGCCATTGCATACCTGCATATCTTAGAGAAGTCACTTGACCTATTTGGCCTTTGTCTTCCTCATCTGTTTAAAAAAAAAAAAGGAGGGAGACCAAATGGCCTCTAATCCCTTCTATCTTTAAAGCTATGGTACCAATAATCCTTTAATTATTTAACTTTTAAGATGACTTCAGTATCCAATACAACCTCATTAATTCAGACCCAGCTAATTTAGAATGTGTTGTAATTTGAACAAATGTTGAGTCAAAATTTACTTTTGCAATAATCAAGAAAGGGTTCACTTATCAACGGTTTGAGCACCTACTAATATATTTCTGTTTATGCACATATGTGTGTGCCTTTTATGCAAGCCTATTTGGTACCTGGGGATAAATTTTTTTATTATTGAGTTGGATTATTTTCATGTTGATAGGAGGCAAGCCAACTTTTACATGGGGTGAAAGTAAATAGATTGGAAAGTTACCAAATAGTAAGACCTGTGACTGGTAAAGAACAGGCATCTTTAAATCAACAGTCTAGTGTCAGTGCAATCCATAAGGCTGTCTGTAAACCCTTCCAGATGGAATAAAGCAGAAGGGCACAGCAAAAATAATTTTTTAATTTAAATTTTTAAAAATATTTTCTTTAATTTAAATTTTTTAAATTTTAAAGTAGAACCTTTTCTGGATGAAAAAGTAGAAGCACAGGCTAGTGCTCAATTAATATTAAACAATAATATTAGAAAGAAATGGATGTTTAATTATTTTCCATGTCTAATTACAGAGTTTCACATGGACACGTTAAAAAGGATATTTAGGTCTTTCATTTTGAGGAGTACCCATTGCTCAGTTTTCCTGTTGCTTCCTAGTATTGGTGACCTTCTCTCTCAGAATATCTTTATGCACAGGATAGAGAAATATCAGCTGGACATTAATTAGTACAGCTAAGTGGATTTGTAGCTGGTTGGGCATTTTTCTTAATGACTTGCATAAAGCCACAGAAGGCATACTTTTCCAAGTTGTAAGTGACACAAAGCTGAGAGTAGTAAATAACGTGTTAGATGACAGAATCAGCATCCAAAAGAATTTTGGCCCACTGGAATGTTAGGCCAAATCTAACAAAATGAAATCCAGTAGAGATAAATGTGAAGTGAGAGAATCATAGGTTTTAGAAGTGGAAGGGGCCCTTAGGAATCATCTGGTCCAATGGTGTCAAACTCAAATAGTGCACCTACTAACATATTTATAGTTATGCATATGTGTGTGTGTGTATGTATATGTGTGTATGTATATATACATGTTCCTTTTATACAAGCCTGTTTGGTGCCTGGGGGATGAATTGTTTCATCCCTTCCCTACTTGCTGCATATTGACTTAGAAAATGACAAATTAACATTATCTTTGTTTTAGTGTATTTTTATTTATTTTGTTACAGATTTCCCAATTACATTTTAATTTGGTTCTGGCTGCGTTCAGGATAGTTGGGTGGTAGGTGGGCTGTGAGTTTGACACCTCTGATCTAGTCCAGTCTTCTCATTTCCTACATTTATCCTTGAAAAAATCAGCCGCCTAGGCAAAGGATGGCGGGGAAGAGGTGGCTTTTGATAATAGTTTATATGAAACAAGACTTAGAGCTTTTAATTGCCTGCAAGTTCAGTGTGAATAAGCAATGTAACATAATAGCATGATTGCAAAAAAGCTGATGTTCTAGGCCGTACTCTGAACTGGTCAGACCACGTCAAGAATGTGGCAGGCGGTTCAGCATTGACAAAGTGAACATGTCCAGAGTAGAGACCATGGTGGCAAAAAACACTGGAGCCCTTTCATATCAGGATCAGCTGAAAGAATTCAGAATATTTAGCCAGAAGAAATAGAAAACTAATGTGTTAGCTATCTTTAAATAATTTTAGAACTGTTATTGTAGCGTAGAAGGGTAATAAGACTTTTTTTCCCCTATGAGTATAGAGAGTAGAACGAGGAGCAAAGTGTAAAAAATAAAGATGGATTTCACTTCTACTGAGGAAGAATATTCTGATAATTAGAGCAGTTTTAAAAAATGGAATGAATAGTGTGAGATAATGACTTCCCTTTCACTGAAAATATTTAAGAGACAAGATGGCCAGGGATATTTTATGAGGAATTTCTATATGAAGTAGGAGGTTGTATTCATAATTTCTAAGGGTCTCATCAAAGCTGAAGATACTGTTATTCAAAACCTTTGTGTTAATTGTTTTACTAAAGCCCTTTGCAGTATTTTGAATCAACTAACATAGGATTCAATGGCACTGTTTCACCAATCAACAAATAAGGAGATCTGGGAGCACACTTAGTGTAGACTGGGAATGTCTGAAGATGCTGGACCTTCATCTAGTTCTTTGAATAGTGACTTATTCTCAATCATTGCAACAGAGATTTCGTTCCGAGTATGGCAGTGTGGTGGCAGCCTGGAGATCATCCCATGCAGCCGAGTTGGGCACGTGTTCCGGAAGCAGCACCCCTATAGTTTTCCAGGAGGCAGTGGCACTGTGTTTGCCCGGTAAGTAACACTTTTTTTTTTTGAAAGAAAAAGCCCGTTACTGAGTTAAGCATTCTGCCTTTCTCCTGAACACGTTATAGCCATCACATTCAACTGGACACTTCTCTGGAAGACCAGGGAAATAACCTCTAAAGGAAAATCCTAAGCCGCAGGTTTTTTTATTTTGAATAAGCAGAGGATCTTTGGGCTCAGTGACTCAGATGCTAAATTTTGTATTGTCAAATAAAATTCAAAACTTTTTTTTAAAATTCACAGGGATATTCATGCTACAGATTTGGGGACTAAGCTAACTGAAAGACTCAGTGTTTTCTCTGCAGAATGGTTAATTTAAGATGTGGTTAGATATTAGACCTTGAGCCATTTACTTAATTAACCTCTCCATGCCTCACTTTCCTCATCTCTAAAATGAGGATACTGAGCCAAATGATTCCTTCTGTGTATCTTTCTAACTCTGAAATTCTGTGATCCAGTAACATTGAATTAAGAATGTAGGTATTTAGAAATTACCTGTCAGTTCTATGGCTGGAGGAAGAGGTCATTAGCAAACAAAATACTGTAAGGATCATAAAATGGACAATTTGATTATAGAAAATTAAAAAAGTTTTACATAGACAAAACTGGTGCAACAAATTAGAATAGAAACAGGTAAGTTGGAGGCAGCTAGGTGGCACAGTGGATAGAAAACCGGCCCAGGAGTCAGGAGGACCTGAGTTCAAATTTGGCTTCAGACACATAACACTCACTAGCTTTGTGACTCTGGGCAAGTCATTTAACCCCAATTGCCTCACACCCGCCTCCCAAAAAAATTAGAATCTACTAGAGGAATACAGCATATTCACAGATAAGTTAATAAAGGATACATTCAGAATAAATCCAAAACAGTTAGGGGGCAGCTAGGTGGCACAGTGGATAGAGCACTGGCCCTGCAGTCAGGAGGACCTGAGTTCAAATCCGACCTCAGATACATGGTACTCACTAGCTGTGTGACCTTAGGCGAGTCATTTAACCCCAGTTGCCTCACAAAAAAAAATAAATAGAAGGTAAATTAGGGTGGGGAAAATCTTGGCAGCAAACTTTTCTAATAGAGATCTCTTTTCTAAGATATATGGAACTAATTCAAATAACTAAGAATAAGAGCCTTTGCCAAATTAATAAATAGTCAAAGGATACGAACAGGCAATTTTCAGAGGCTTGAGGGATAGGGGTATAAATGATGAAAGGCGGAAGACAGAGACAGATTTTTGTTAATTAAAAAATATTTAATAGTATAGAGCACTGGCCCTGAAGTCAAGAGGACCTGAGTTCAAATCCGGTCTTAGACCAAACACTTACTAGCTGTGTGACCTTGGGCAAGTCACTTAACCCCAATCGCCTTAAAAAAAAGATACACACACACACGCGCGCGTATATAAAAATTAAAAAAAAAAACAGCCTGTGGAGGAAAAAAGAACATAGGTATTTTAATTTTTTAAAAAAATAATATAGATATTTAATCACAGAAATTTAGGTTTGCCACTCATTTGAAATGAGAATACAAATGAAATATGAATTGCCTATGGATTTTCAGACTTCTGAACAGCTCCTGCCTCTCATCACTTTCCTCCTATCCCTGAACTTAAATTCCTTCTACCTCTGTCAATTCATGTTGAGCTTCTGCCCATTATTGAAAGTTCAGTAGAGACACTAACTACTCTGTGAAGATTTCCACGTCTTTCCAACATCTGACTTGTAACTCACTTACGCACTTACTATGTGCTACTTTCATTTACTTATGTGTATGTCTTGTCTTGCCTATTAATTGAAGTCCTCAGAGACAAGATCTATGTCTTAGTCATGCTGATATCCCCATAGTGCCTTTCAGTGGTCTGTTTCAAAGTGCTGTTCTGAAGAATATAAATAATCATAACTCACACATACACAGCATTGAAGTAAATGCTTTTCCTCCCAACAGTTCATGGGGTGGGTAGTACAGACATCATTAACCCCATTTTGCAAACAAAGAAACCGAGATGCAGAGAAGCTAAGTAATAGTATCTATCATAGATTTAGAGCAGGGAAGGTCCTTAGCTCAACCTGATCATTTGACAGATGTGGCCCAGAGATGATGACTAGTTCTTTGCCCACAAAGTAAGTGGCCAAGGTGGGACGTGAACCCTGGACCTCTCACTCCAGAGCCAGTATTCTTTCTTCTCTACCATTTGACCAAGATCACACACAACCACTAAGTGTTTGCACTAGAATTTGAACCTAAGTCTTCTTAATCCAAGGGCAGAGGGCTTTCTTCTGTGCCCTACTGCCTTCCTTAAATGAATCAACGTAAGCGTGCATGTTGAGGGAAAGAGAGAGATCTATGACAAAAGACAGATTGTACAGTAAATATAGGAAGAAGGGTGAGATTGTGCTTTGTCTATGTACCATGGAATTGGACGTGTCAGCTGAATTGATTGGTCATTTGAGGTAAATAACTGGTTTATCAGGTTGGTTTGGGGTTTTTTGGTGGAATTGTTTGGTTAGCAGACCGAATTGGTTACTTTGGCACATCAGAGGTAACAGCCACAAAGCTTCTGAAGGTTCTCACCTGATTATTATAATTAAAGTTCTGTCTTATATTAGTGTTATTTTCTCAGCAGCATAGGCATGCCTTCACACCATTCGTTCACTTTGAGATCCTAGCCATACAGGATCCTCAGCTGGTTTTCCTTTTATTTTAACTGGCTGTTCGTTTTTCCTTCTTATTTCTACTCTACTTTTCCTGGCGCTCAAGGTCTGAAATTATTGAGACTAAGGAACAGACAAATTCTCACCAGTTCCTTCCCCACCCAAAACATGGATAAACCACTCAGTCTCGAGCCCCTTCTCCATTTGTGATCAAGTTGCCATAATGTTTACATAAACCACTTAATACACAACAACTTTGAAGCTGTTTTTACTCAGTTATGTCATAAGTGCAAGGTATTGTATCATAACTTTGGAGACTGAAGGTTTCATCTACTGGGACCTTTTCAGGAGAAGGGAGATACAGTCTTTACATTGTTTTCCGTTACAGAGACCTTATAGATCCTCCACGTTGTATTTCTGTTTCTGTTAGTATCTTGTAAAGTTAGGAGGTGAAGTGCATAGAATACTGGGGCTGAAGTCAAGAAGACCTGAGGTCAAATATGACTTCAGATGGTTGTTAGCTGGGTATAACCCTAAGCAAGTCACTTAACTGCCTAGCTTCCTCAGCTGTAAAATGGGGATAATACTAGTACCTCCCAGGGCTGGTGTGAGGATCAAATGATATATTTGTAAACTACTTTATACAATGCCTGGCACATGTTGTTAAGTCGTTTTTCAGTTGGGTCTGACTCTTTATGACCCCCTTTGGGGTTTTCTTGGCAAAGATATTGGAGTGGTTTGCCATTTCCTTCTCTAGCTCATTTTACAGATGAGGAAACTGAGGCAAACTGGGTGCCCAGGGTCACACAGCTAGTAAGTGTCTGAAGCCTGGTTTGAACTCGGGTCTTCTTGACTCCAGGCCCAGCGGTCTATCCACTGTGCCTCCTACCTGCCCCTGCCTGGCACATAGTAGACATTTAATAGTTGTTTCTTTATTCCTTTCAGAAAAAGAATAGCTTGGAGACAGATAGGAGAGGAGGAATCAGTCAATCAGTAAATATTTATTGAATGCTTACTATGTGCTGGGCTCTGTGCTAAGTGCTGAAAGGTTATAAAAAAATTTTTTAAACAATCATATTATAAGACTTGGTGGACCAATTGGTAGAATTTAGAATCGTTGTTTTTTCCCACAACAAATGAATACTTCCCAAAGGAAGCATTTCCCTGAATTGATAGCATAGAATTTGGACTCGGTAGGGATCATTGGGGATCAATGGGGCTGTTAGGCTCAGCCTGCCCTTGCTTATCCATAGCAAAGGGCGACATGATGAAATGAAGATGCACAGCAGAGCTCAGAAATCTCATCTTAAACAAATTTTATCTCCTTTCACTTAAGAAACTTTTCCCCCCTTTTTTTTTTATGGTTAATGAGAATCCTGAACTGACTGATCTGAAATTCTCTCTGTTCTCCCTGACTTTGTCTGCCTAGAAGTTGGTAGCAAGCAGTAAAATGACCAGAAGTAAGAAGGGAAAGATCCATAAGGAAACCAAATAATCAGCTTTTTAGGAAATTAGGCTTGGCTGTATATAATCCTTCAATGCATAACCCCCTCCTCTCAACCCATATTTGGAAATTATCTTTCCATCTAACCTTTCATAGTGCACTACCTATCTTATGCTTTTATAATAATATATTCTTCATTATAGTTCTTACATAGTTTTGCGTGTTCATGTATGTGCCATCCATGCAACCTTCCCCCCCCCACTAGATTATAAAGTCCATAGAGGCAGGACCATGTCTTAATTGGTGTGTGGGGAGTTATATGTATGTGTGTGTGTGTGTGTGTGTGTCTCTCCCTCAATGCCTAGCACAGTGCTCTGCACATACCAAGTATCTAATCAGTGGGTTTGGGATACGCTAATTGAATTGAATGAATGAGTTATACACAAACATTAGAATTATAGAATGTTAGTCCTAGAAGGAACAACAGAGATCATCATGTGCAAATCTTTCATTTTGCCAATGAAGAAACTGAGGCCTAGAAAACTGAAGTGTTGTTTTCAAGGTTACCCAGTAAGTAGCAGAGCCAGAGAATGATTTTTCACTGAAATTTGTGACCTAGCATCTCATAGCTGTCTTTTAAATGTAATTGATAGGGGCAACTAGATGGTGCAGTGGATAGAGCACCGGCCCTAGATTCAGGAGGACCTGAGTTCAAATCTGGCCTCAGATACATAACACTTACTAGCTGTGTGACCCTGGGCAAGTCACTTAACCCCCATTGCCCAATCAATCAGTCACATTTATTTAACACCAACCAAACCTATCTCATAAAACTGCAATACTAGGGTGAGTGTATGCCATGTGAGACATATGGTCCCCAAAAGCTCCATGGAAATCAGTTCATCTTAGGATTATTTGTTAAGTCATTTTTCAGTCATGTCTGACTCTTTGTGACCCCATTTGGGGTTTTCTTGGCAAAGATACTGGAGTGATTTGCCATTTCCTTCTCCAGCTCGTTTTACAGATGAGGAAACTTAGACAGAGGGTGAAGTGACTTGCCCAGGGTCACACAGCTAAGAAGGGTCTGAGGCCAGATTTGAACTCACAAAGATGAGTCTTCCTGGCACTGTATCCACTGTACCTTTAGAATAGGAAGGAAACTAGACTTGGAGTTAGAAGATCTAGGTTCAGATCCTACCTTAGATACTTAAGCTAGCTGTGTAACCCTGGGCAAGTGACTCATACCTCTCTGGGCTTAAGTTTCCTCATTTGTAAAATGAGAAGATTGAACTCAGTGATCTTTAAGGACTCTTCCAGCTATAAAATCTATAATATTCTTATATCTCATACTGTTCCAAACTCCTCTCAGACTGAGGAAACTGAGGTCCAGGAGAACGATATGACTTGTCCAGAGTCACATAAGTTATTACTGGCAGGCCCAGAATTTGAACCTAGCTCATCTGAGTACAAATGCAACACTCCTTCCACTGTTCCTGGCATACCTGGAAGATGTTTTATTTAAAGAAATGTTCCAGCACATTAATTTTTAAAATCAAGGAACGCTTTTATAATGCAAATAATTTTTATATTTCGAGGTTTTCTTTAAATTGGGTATGCCTGTAAAGTTACAGGTGCTAGGAGACTCCCGGCATTGTCTGGTTTGGGCCTATGATACGAGGAGCCAAGACAGTCTGTTTTAATGTGCCACAGTTGTTTCAGAGACAATTTTTTGTTGCCTAAGATGGAATGCGGTCTTGACAGTCTTTAATAAATGTTACACATTTAAATTTAACTGGCCCCGATATCCTTGAATCTCATGAATCTTCATATTTCCATGCTGTTTGGCCCATGATTTAACCTCTCCATTAGCTACAGAGCCATGCATGATTGTGAGGGTTAGGGATGTATGGTTTTTCATCTGACAAATGAAAGCTCAGATCCCTGTCTGTGTTGCCCCCGTTGCAAAGTGAGCCCTAGAGATAGATGTTCTTAAGGTCATCTCCTTTTAATCTATATTCCTTGTCAAAACAAGACACCAACTCACCTCAGGCAGACAGGAAGAAAAGAATAATGTAAACACTGAATCATCTCTATTTTCTTTTCTTTCCCTTTCCTTCCTTTTTTTTTTCTAAAGAAATATGTCTGTTGTTTCCATACCCTTAACCTGTGAATACCTGGAGAGTAAAGCTGTTATTGCACGTAATAGGCACCATACCTAGCATTCTGTGGACGATAGGAGTTCTTTTGTGTTCTTTAATGTAATACTGCCCTAGCCCCTCCACATCAAAATGTCTCAGCCATCCCTCTGGTCTCTCCTTTCATTCTTGGAAAATTAGTATGCTGGAAAGAAAAGCAACAAGAATTCTCTTGGATTCAAGATATATGTATTGATTGCCTACCAAAAGCACAGCACTGCAGTGAGCATTTTGAGGGACTTAGTGATATCTATGGCATAGACCCTGCCCTCAAGGAATCTGAACTCTAGAAGCCTCTTCAGTTGCTCTGTTCTGTGGGGCATTCATTATGGCCTGAGCATTCCTTTGCCAACAGCTTTCATGGAAAGGCCCAGGTAAAGAGAAGCTGTCAGCACAAGAGGAGTTCACACAGGGATGATGGCAGGAAGCTTCTCAAAACACTTTGGTTGTTGTTGTTCCTAGGAACACTCGCCGAGCAGCAGAAGTCTGGATGGATGAATATAAAAATTTTTACTATGCAGCAGTGCCTTCAGCCAGAAATGTTCCTTATGGGAAGTAAGTATTACCTCTCCTTCATTCCTCTACTTCATCCAGACTACTAGGGAAGTGTTTGGGGCATTTGTTGACCAGTGCTCTGGCCCCCAAAGCCCAACAGCTGCCACATGTCAAAGAGCAAATCTTAGCTTCAAGGTGAGGCGAAATACCCTAGAGCTGCAGTGCTTAAATCAGGGGCATGAGCCTCAGTCACAATGACCCCGTGAGAAGTCATGCTTCCCACCTTAGGAAGGAAAGGGTATCCTCTACCCAGTGGAACAGATTTTAGTGTTGGATAGAGGAAGGCTGTGTCCAGTTCAATTCAACAACAAACACTAATTAATTGTCTAATAAGTACTAGATTTCCATGATAACCAAAAGACAAAAGCAGAATAGCCCTTGCCCTCTAGGAGCTTACAGTCTACTAGGGGCAGAGGAATACAAATGTACACAGATAAACAAATAGAGTAGTTAAGGAAGGCAAAAGCACTGACAACTTGCAGAAGTGAGGGTCTGGGGTAGTGATACTTGTGGAAAAGGCTCCACATAAAAGAGGGCACCTGAGCTCAGTCGTAAAGTAAGGGGTGAAGGTAAGGAAGGAGTATACATGGGGGAACAGGCTATGTGAATGTGAAGGCATGGAGATAGATGGAATGATGAGCTCAGAGCCCAGTGAGTTAGCTGGAATATAACATGCATGAAGGGGAGCGCTATGTAATAAAGCTGGAAAAGTAAGTTGGAGCCAGATTGGGAGTGCCATTAAGTGTCCTTCCTGTTACTAATAATGGTGGTGGTTTTTCTTTATCTCTTCCTCCCTAGTATTCAGAGTCGACTAGAACTAAGAAAGAAGCTTAGTTGCAAGCCCTTCAAATGGTACTTGGAAAATGTCTACCCTGAACTAAGGTGAGTCTCCAATGGTCTGGATTTTCTTATGTGGGTGTGTACTTTTTCTGTCTGAGGAATTAGGCCAAAGAATTTCTCTTCCATGTTGTAAGTAGCTACTCTAGATCGTACCCTGTCATTTTAGGGTTCCATTTTTTTTTCTAGAATTGGTAGGGATTTGGAGACAGCCTAGTCCATTCCCTTTTTCCAGTCAGCATTGTTATATGGCTGACAGTTATGGAACTCTGGTTTCTGAAGTATTGAAACTGAGGATAACCCTAAGAGTTTAGAGAGGCATGCTGTATATGTGAGCATATCCACATTTCAGAAAAAAAGGAATTGAGAAAGAGAGGTAATGTAAAGGGTGCCATTCAAGAAATGTGTGAATGAAAAAGTTGGGTTAAGCGTGTGGTGAGAGCAAGGGAAAACCAGTGGATTACTTACATAATCCATTAGTACATTCAGGATGTCAAGAGAAAGCATGAAAGTCCCCCAGCACACTGGGACCACCTGTAGTGAATTCTCTGAAGGACATGGGTATGCACTGTACAAAATCATCAGGCTTGAATAGATTGTTATCTGCATTATTGAAAGGAATATCCACATGGAAGGGGTCAGAGAGCCCTATTTAAATTGAGTACTTTGCCTAAACCATGCAAGATAGATTGTGTTCTTTAAATTATTCCTGGGAGATTCCACAGTTTCCCTTCTAGCATTTACTCTGCCTTCCCTCTGTTGTCTAAGCAGTGCCATACAGATCAGTCATTTCATCACATAATTCAGAAAGGTCATCAAGAAGAGTCACTATTTCCCTTGCAACATTGCTGTGTGTCTGACTGATGTATCTCTTGACACTTCTTTGGATTGCCTCCATACACAATGGTAGGCTTTAGGAGGTAAAGTTAGGGCTAAGCCAACACTTTTTTTTCTTCGTGGTAGATGTCAACCTCCATTAAAAAGTGTTTAAGGGGTTCAAGAACCTTCCTTGGGTTCTTGAAGGGTATGCTAATGGAGTGCAAACTAATCAGTCCTAATAAGCTAGAAGACCTTCAGTCTTGGCCAGGTGATGGACTCTATGTCTGCTGTCCAAGGACCAGCCCAGAGATGATAAATTATTTAGCTGCAGCAATTTTCTAAGACTTGTCTGCTGGGCTGTTATAGGGATTATGGCCTGTGTTGGTGAAGGAGGTACTCACGCTGGTGAAGTTACAGATTCTTTAAGGATTTTTTAAGAAATAAATTTTTTTGATACATTTGGTTTTATATCACCCATATGTATGAATTTATCTCTTACCCCTTACCCTCCCAGATACTCATCCCTTATAACACAAGGAGAAAAAAAAATTCATTAAAAAGTAGCCAGGGTAGAACACCAGCCTTGGAGTCAGGAGGACCTGAGTTCAAATGTGGCCAGTTACTTAACCTCAATTGCCTCCAAAAAAACAAAACAAACCAGTAGCCAGCATATTAGAAGAGTCTGATATTTTGCATTATTTCACACCCATAGTCCCCTACCTCTGCAAAATAAAAGGGTGGGACAAGTTTGGTCATTATAATTTTGTAGCATTTATTCTTTATTTTTTTGTAGTTGTTACCTTTCCTAGTTACCCTCAAATATTGAAAGAGATGCTTATCATCCTGTGCTGGTTTGGTTTTTTTTGGGGGGTGGGGTCTGGGGTTTTGTTTGTTTGTTTTAGCAATACTAGCCCTACACGATGGCCTTTTAGAGAAGGCTGTCAAACTAAGTCTCAGAAAACATGAACTATAGTATAGTCCTAGGCTTAACACTGGTCTTTTATGACAGTAGATAAGATACTTCACTGTTCTAAGCCCCAGTGTTCCCCATGGGAAAAGTGGGAATTATAATGCATATTCCATGCCTACTTCCAAGAGCAGAGAAATGGCAAGAGAAATTCCCCTTAGATCCCTCTTTCTAAGCCCAGCCCTATAGTTTAAATTTCTCTTAAGTCCTGTGTCCCAAGGAACTACTGACAACCTTATGGGGAGACCTGAAGATCTGCTCTGTTTCAGAATCTAGCCTGAGTTAATCTTCCTAAGGAAATGGTTTGGAGAGTTTGGGGTTTCATATGGCATAGTCCTTATTTTAAATATTCCTAGAGCATTTTGTAGTGAGTTATAGATCCCTTATACAGTGATTGTATGCACAAAAGCCACCACATTATCTTCTCAGGGAAAGCTCTTAGAGATCCCTGACCTGAGATTTATTTGTGGCTTAGGTGATGCTGTTCTGCTTTTACTTGTGCTTTTGACATATATAGCTCTTCCTAAATCTTTTCACTGCTTGTAAGTACTAAAATGAATCATCAGCTAAGGTGAGTATAGGCATATCTTAACTTTTTTTTAATTTCAGGAATATTAAAAAATATTCTTTCCTCTTTCTCTCTGAAAAAGAAAGCCTTTTACTTGGGAAGTATCTGCTCATCATTAATGCATCTCTCTCCCCTTAACTATATATACTTCATGTTTTATAATTTGGGGTATGAGTATCAGAGCCCCAAAGAAAAGTCCTCTCTGACCCTACTGGCTATTCCTTCACCTGAACAAGCCTTAGGTCGACTCCAATCAACCTCTCTGGTTAGGCCTTGTCCAATAGCAGTTCTTAACCTATGTATAGAAATTGCAATTTAGAACCCCCGCCCTCACTTCCCACTATTGAAAGGCCAAATGAAGGTCTATTGAAAAATATGAGACAACAGGAATTTTCCTTTGATCTGAATTCATTAATTACGTTTTTAATTATTCTTACTAAGCCAACACTGAAACATTGGGAACTTTGTCCTTTCCTGAAAATTGTCGAAGGAAGGAAGGAAGAAAAAGAAAGAAAGAAGAGAAAGGGAAAGAAACATAGATAGAGATGGTTCTGTCTCACTGACACAACCCTATCCAGGAGCAGAAGATATATCATTAAGCATTTTAACTTCACCAGAGTGATCATCATTTAAGATAAAACCAGTGAGACAGAGAATTTCATGGAAAAAAGGAAGGATGAAATTAAAGTAGTAATTTCTACTTTGCCTTTCAGGGTTCCTGACCATCAGGATATAGCTTTTGGAGCATTGCAGCAGGGTAACAATTGTCTGGACACTTTGGGACATTTTGCAGATGGTGTTGTAGGAGTTTATGAATGTCATAACTCTGGGGGAAACCAGGTATGTTTTCTGGGTCAAGACTGATAATCTCTGAGCCCTATAATGGGAGGGATGATGGGGGACACAGAGCTTGGAAAACCTTTTAGCTAACTTTTCATTAGCAAACAGAAATTTCCACCTGATCATTAGGATTGGAATTATAGGATTTTCATGGTGCAGGGGACTTCAGTTCATTGCTCTTTTAGCCTTGTAGATGAAGGAAAGTGGTGGTGTTTCAGGCCTACTACCTTTAATGGAGAGTATAGACTTTGAGTTGGAAGTGTCCTAAGAGGTCATCTAAATCAACCCCATCATTTTACAGATGAGAGAACATAGGTCCAAGGATGTCAGGTGACTTGACCCAGATCACACAGGTAGTATGTATGAGAGGCAGAATTTGAAGTCAGTGCTCTCCCATCTCTCTCTCTCTCTTTCTGTCTTCTCTCTCTCCCTCTCCTCTCCTCTGTTCTTCTCTCTCTGTTCAAATTCCATCTCTGTCACTTATTACCTGTGTTACCTTGAGCAAGTCACTTCACTTTTCCAGGCCTTTGTTTCCTCATTTATAAAAGTAAAGGGATTGGGCTAGATGATCTCTAAGATCTCATCCAACTCATTTTATTTTCCTATGAATTCTCCATTCATGAGTTATTATCCGTATCCTTTACAGACTAAACCAATTTTCCTGTTCCTATATCTGTGTCCTTGTTAAACCTCCTACCAAATGTCTAGGAGCAGCTAGGTGGCACAGTAGATAGAACATTGACCCTGGAGTCATGAGGACCTGAGTTCAAATTTGGCCTCAGACACTAGCTGTGTGACCCTGGGCAAGTCACTTAGCCCTGTTTGCTGGAGAAGGAAATGGCAAATCACTCTAGTATCTTTGCCAAAAAAACAAAACAAAACAAAGTGGGGTCATAGGTCATCAGACACTACTGAAATAACAACAGCAGCAACAAAACCAAATTTCTAGATGACCTTTGGCTCCAACCTCACTGTCTTAACAGATAACAAATTGATTCCTGGGATCAGTGAGTGTTTTTTACCCATCCAGTTACCAGCTTCATCAATTTCCCTATGTTTTTACTCAAATATTCCTCCTTCCTGGAGGAGCGATTTCCTAGACCCTACTGAAGTACAGACTTATAACAGAAAAATACCTTATGTCTCCATCACCATACCCACAAATAAGTTAGAGTTTCTGAACTTCATGCTTTCATCCTTCAGTCTGGGAGCTCAGTGCCTATCTGATGGGCCTGTCTTTTGGCAAAGGTATTGCTTAAGCAGATGCATCACCTGACTGGTCCAAAGTAAAACCAAAGTTGGAAAAGCTTGTCTTTTGAGACCCTGGTCTCCTTGGCAACCTTTCTGTCTCTCTCTGGCGTTGTCCTATCTTCAAAACTTCTTTAATATATCCGGTTCTTCTGTTCTGTGTCAACTCATCTCTACCAAGATTTATCTGATAATTAGGGTGTTAACTAATACCGTTTTAAGGAGTATAGGTAATAATGTTATGATTTTACTCCCCCTGCCCCAAGGATATTTGCATTTTAAAAGGGTCCTTTTTAAGGTATGACTTCGTAGACCTCAAGGAAATCTGAGACATCATCTAGTCTAATCTTCTCTTACAAAAGTAGAAATTATTAAAACCTCCCACCCGCTGTCCGCCTGGACAAGGATTAAGGAAAAAAAGACTTGGCATACCTACCTCTGGTCCAGGGAGGAGTGGTAGAAATGGGTTTCAGAATAAAGAAAGTCTTATGTTGGAAGGAAGAAAGGAGAAGGTCCCTGATCTCCGATAAACATTTGGCAACAATAACCAATTTTATTTCTATTATCTTTTTCAAGTATCCAGTCGGGAAATTTTCAGGGCTTAAAATTCTGGTCTGATGAGCTGCTATTGCCCTTGGATGATATCCATGTTTCCAAAATAAGGAAATGTGTGCCTTCTTCCATAGGCTGTCTTCCCATTTATGAGAGAATGGGATCCTGGCTTCAAATGTGTTTTGGCTACTTTCTTAGGGTCTGTTTGGCTGAATGTAATTCTGCCTTAAGATATGACACTGAGGATCAGCAAAGCCCCAGTGCCAACAGCAATATAACATCCCCGGTACAGCCTTTGCTATTTTCTTGGCTAGTTATTGGAAACAGGAGTAAGTATGCTTGCCAGTGTCTTGACAGTTGAGTTGTTGAAAGCACCATCTCACCCTGCTGGGGGTTGATTACTAAAGAGAGTGCTGGTGTCCCATAGTGAAATGTTGTAGGACATTCCACTTAAAAATGAAGCTTTCTATGTAATTTCACCATTGGGAAATTAATTCCAGGAGTAAAACAAAAACTTTGTATTATTAAAATAAGCTTCATATCTATTCATGGAAACATGTATAATGATACCTCTGTAGTCATGGCCTAAGTGGGAAAGATGACCTTATGTTAGAACACCATTTCAGCATTTGTGAAATCCATTTGACCGTAATGTAAGATTCTCACCTATGTGAAAAGACTTAAGTTCTAACAATTAGCAAGCTTGGGTTCAGTGAAATGCAGGTAGAAGTAACTGCAGGGGATGGATGTGATGTATTCAGGACACTCCATTGTGCATTGGCTGCCTTGGCTCACATCATACATTGTTGAGAGCGGGCAGAAAAATAGGAGAACAAAGGATAAGACGTCAGCATAAAGGAGGACAAGGTGAAACCAAAATAAGGTAAATCAAGGAAAAAAGATGTAAAAGGGAAGGGAGAAAAACACATGTAACAGGTGGGAATTGTTAGGTGGATTGTGACATGGGAGGAAGGGGAAAAACCAAAGAACGTGAATTTGTTGCTGCCAACTTAGTATTGGCTCATTGTGCTCTTTTGTAAACTTTTATCCAGTACCGCCTAAGGTTTTATTTTCAAATTGGTTCATACTTTACTTGTATTAGAACTAAGATATATTAAGTCTAAAGGGCTTACCCAGGGTCGATAATTAAATTTGTGTTCATGAAACTGGGACTTGTTGAACTAGTGCTGCCCAACAGCTTTTGTTTCCAAGGATTGGAGAGACCTCGTTGTGGCCGGGAAGGTCTCTTTTCAGAGATTACACGTATGTTTCTTTAGCAGATGTGCAGTTCTATGAATGAAGGGGACAAAGAGACAATAGAATTATTTATTTCCTCTTTTTCTAGCCCTCTTTGTTAATATCCCAAATTAGAGAATATTCCTCATTCCTTTCTCTTTGTACCTTCAAATCAAAAGTATTGTATCAAAAAAAAAACCCTGCAGAAAGAAGAGAAAGAAAGTTACTAGATCTGAATTTTATTTAGACTTAGGAATAAAAAAGTAATATAGCAAGAAAGCTACTTTTTTCAGAGCTTGGAACCATATGTAGTAAAAATTCATTAATTCAGACCCCTGCCAGTTCAGAGTGTATGATAATTAAAGGCTAAGTTTACTTTTGCTCTATTTTTAAAGGGTTTTTTCTAAACCAATTAACAATGTAAATTTTTTTTAAACTTAAAGAAATATTTTTAATCATTTCAGAAAGATTTCAGTTTCATGTAAGGAAAAACTTGCTAACAATTAACTCTGTCTGAAAAGGGTTTAGAGTATCTGGAAAGATAACTCAGTTATTCCAGTGTTGGACATCTTTAGGCAGAGAGATTTAAATGACCACTTGAGACTAGATTGGCACATATTGGGGATGTTGTAGAGAAGATGCCATGCCCTAGATAGGAGTTAGAGTAAATAAATAGAAGATTCCTTCCGACTCCACAGTTCTGTGATGCCTTATAAACAGCCATTATGTATAAATGGTTGGCATAATGATTGCAAATCATTCTCACCTATAAAATAGGTACCATGAGGATATTATCCAGATTACATTTGGTTGACCTAATTACATTATTGTGTGTCTTTGAAAGTACTAAAAATGTATATCCTTTTTTAAAAATATTTTTTATTTATTTCATTAAATATTTCCCAGTTACATTTTTAAAGATTTTAACATTCATTTTCTCTCCCTCCTACCCCTTGAGAAGGCAAGCAACATATTGATTATACATGTAGAGTCAAAAGTGTATATCCTTTTTAAAAAATTTCACAATTCAGACTTTTCAACTAAATTAATGTTCCATCCCACTCCCTACCTAGTTTTTCTAGTTTATCATATTTGGAAATATTTTGCCTACTCACTTAAACCAAGGAAAGGGGGGAGAAACCTCATTTTAAGACATAGGAAGTGATTCATTTCCGTGCATTCCTTTTTATGTCTTAAAGCCGACCTATAAATGCTCCTGTTAAAGAATCACCCACTACACCTCTTTGAATGAATCTTTGTTGTATAGATACTGATGTCCCTTGATTTTAATGACTCCCTATGTAGCTTCAGCTCAGGAAATTGATTGCCCCTTTTACCCCAATGGTGATAACATAAGACAGAGTGGGTCCTGGGAGCAGATGCCGTATCAGCAGGTTTATTGGTAAAGTTCTTCTATAATTGGTTTCCCATTCTTTCTTGAAGGGTTAGTATTATGTCTTTGGTGGTAGTGGCAACTTGCTTGATGGTGCTGCCTCAGTTAATAGTTGGTCTCTGATTACTCCTCTCAGAATGCCTCTCGGTCACTTGCCAGTGCCCTGCCCAGCCACTCTCAGGATGCCTTTCATGGTGGGAAGGGGAGGATTTTGTCACATTGATGCCCAGAGAGGCAACCCAGAGTTCCCTGGCCATGCCCCCAGCTGATTTCTGCCTACTCCCATAAAGGGACAATCTAATCAGATAATACATTCCTGCCCTGAAAACAGACAGACTCCCTCAAAGTAATTACAGTCTGGTCAAGATCTGTCTTTTTAGTCCCTGGATGTAGTCTCTCCATTAGCATTCTTTTTCTCCACTTGAGATCTGAGGGGCAGATTTGTGCCTAGGAATCAGTGCCTAAGGATTAGTATTTAGTATTTACCCTCCTACAACATAAATAAAAATATATATACCAAATAAGTGTAGGGGTCAGGTGCTAACCCATGCAAGAATCAGCAATGGCTTTATGTAAAAGAGGGGACTTGAGAGAGCCTGTGAAAAAGACTGCCCTATTTATTGGGAGGACAAAGCCAAACCAAAATGGAATTGTAGAAAGGCAGAAAGCAAAACCAAAGATAAATTCTTGATAATATTCAGGTGCCCCCTTGTCAGTGATTCAATCAACAAATGTTTATTACTATGTGCCAGGCACTGTGCTAAATGATGGGAATACAAAAAAAAAAAGCTTGCCCCCTCCCCAAATAAATAAAATTAAAAGGTTACTGTCTTCAGTGGAATTAGTTGCCCTACTAGAGAAGAGCCATTCTCTTCTGAAAAGAATCAGAATGAAGCATTTGGGCATGATATGTCACAGGTGGGGAGAGGGAGTTTGGAAGAATATTTCCTAAACAGGAAAGAGGATGGTGCTATGGAAGAGCCAGTTTTGTTATCAGGCTTCTAGCTGAGGCTCAACAGACACGCAGGAAATGAGAAAATTCAGGGCCAAGTTTTTAGAGTGGCAATTCAAAAAAATAAAACAAAAATGATTCCTTAAATATTTATGAATTTTGTTACAAATTCAGAGAATTGAAATGCAATGGGAAGACCAAAGTGCTAACTTGCTCTGTTGTTTGCATAGCTAAATTAGTTTTGCTGGGATTCATGTGAAGTATGCTTTTAAAATAATTAAGCAAGAGATAGCAAGAAGTTACAGAAACATCACATATGGTACTAAGCTTTTTATTGAATCTCAGGAAATGGCAGATTTCCTATGACCCCTTCTAATGTATGCTTTCAAAATATAAAATTCTTTCCAACACATAGATTCTCTCTACTGAACCTCTTTTCTCTTCTCTTCTTCAAAAAAACCCTTCAACTTCCTCCTTGTCTCCCTTATTTCTTATCAATAACCTAAGTAACTCTGTGGTTGAGTTCCTGTATTTATAAATTAACTCCACTGGGGAGAAAATGCTGCCCAAAAGACAGTGTCCACAAGTGTGTCATCATGTTGTCTGATACTAAAAGGCTATTGTTTGGGTGTTCATTCTTAGTCATAGAAACTTCCATAGTGACCTGGCTTGACTTTAGCACTGAGCGTTAATACTGTTAGATGCTGAGCGTCAATGAATTGGTATGATTGAGGTTGACATGGGAAGCAACATGACATATTGCTAAAGGACCAATCTTGGATTTAGGAATCCCTAGGTATATTCCTGTCCCTTGATTCATACTGGCTATGTGAACAAATCACCAAACCCCTCAGTGATTCAGACAGCTCGCTAAGACTGTAAGTTGCAGATGGATTACCAGTCTGCCATGGTGGAGGGAGCTTGTGATGATAAAATCATTTCTGGAGTACTCTAAGATTTGCAAAGAGCTTTACATGTATTATCTTAGTTAATCCTTGGTGGGGGTTGGGGGGACCCTGGAAGGTAGTTGCTGGTATTATCTCCATTGTACAAATGAGGAAATTGAGACTTAGAAAGGTTAAGTAATTTACCCAGGCTCCCACAGCTGGTGTCTGAGGTTGGATTTGAATGGAGGTCTCCTGACTCCATGTCCAGCACTCTGTCCACTATGCCACCCAGCTTCCAGTTGAATCACAAGAATACCACCCCCCCAAAAAAAATGAGGTTGAAGTAAACATCTCGCCCATTTTGCTGGTAGGAAGGAAAACTAAGACCAACATTTCATTAGGATCTTCATATTTTAAAGATCATCTACTCCCTTCTTTTTTTGTTTCTTGTTTATTTGGTTTTGGTTTTTGTTTTTGGCTAGGCAATTGGGGTTAAGTGACTTGCCAGGGTCACACAGCTAGTGAGTATTATGTGTCTGAGGCCAGATTTGAACTCAGGTCCTCCTGACTCCAGGGCCAGTACTCTATCCACTGTGCTACCTAGCTGCCCCAAGCCCCTTCTTTTTTGAGAAGGGAAACTGAGGCCCAGAGAGAAGAAATAATTGTCCAAGGCCATAGTTAATAAGCTGCAGACTTGGCTTTTGAATGCAAATTCTAACTGCAAATCTAGTGTTTTTAACTTTAGTACCTCTGGTCAGTAGTCAAGAAACATTTATGAAGCACTTACTGTGTGCCAGGCACTGTGAGCTAAGCACTGAGGATACAAATTTTTTAAAAAGAGACACCGTCCATACCCTCAAAGAGCTTGCATTCTAATAAGGGAAGACAACATGTAAAAGAAAGCTGAAAAGGAGGAGTACCCAGCACAGCAGAATGGTGGAGAAGGCAAAGAAATCCAGAATTAATGCATCTGGGTGGGATACAAGGAGGTGTGTGAGGAGATGTCACTTCTCTTCCCTCTCCTTAAGTAGAGGAGTTTATGGCTCTACCCTCCTGTGAGAAGGGCAGAGGGTTCGGATGAGGGGTGAGTAACACAAGGCTAATTAGATCTGGCAAGATTGTGACATTTCCCAATGATGAGTTTACTGAGAGCTTCTTTGTTGTTCAGTCAGCCCTTCATGACCCCATTTGAGGATTTCTTGGTAATGATACTGGAGTGGTTTGCCATTTCTTTCTCCAGTTCACTGTACAGATAAGGAAACTGAGGCAAACAGGGTTAAGTGACTTGCCCAGGGTCACACAGCTAGTAAGTGTCTGAGGTCGGATTTCAGCTCAGATCTTCCTGACTCCAGGCCTGACAGTTGTCAAAGAAGTTCAAAATGAATTCAACCAGGTGGGAAATGAGATGTCAGGGTCCCAAGTTCATATTCCTAGTATTATCACATGCCAAGATTGGCCTTGGAATCCCCATATGTCTTTGTATATACGCAAGTACTGTGGCCAGGCACTTAATTTGATTTTTTTGTATTTGTATTTCAGGAATGGGCCTTAACAAAGGACAAGTCAGTAAAACATATGGATTTGTGCCTTACTGTGGTGGACCGAGCACCAGGCTCCCTCATAAAACTACAGGGCTGCAGAGAAAATGACAGCAGACAGGTGGGTACAACCAAAAGAGGAGCATGCATCTTTATGAATTCAAAACCAAGCTGGTTGGTTTCTTGATTCTGAGACATTTGGTGGGTGGGCAGAATGTCCCCTGCCACTTCCATCCCTCTTCTTTTTTGCCTGCAAAACTCTGCCATGTTTCAAGGGAGTAGCTGTACCTGCCCAAAGTTTACTTCTTTATGTTAGTTGTTTTGTGTTTTGTTTTGATGCTTATCCCTTCTATCACCATGTCAACTAAACTCCTTAAGGGGAGGGGCCACGTCTGATGCCTCATTGTGTCTCCCTCTCCCACTTTTCACATGATCCTTAAACATAGTCTTATAATCACAGAATTTGGAATACACCTCAGGAGCCGTCTGACCCAACCATCCAGTTTTAGTGAGTTCGCTGGGGCCACCCATACGTAGGAGAGAATCCTTTTACAACCTAACAGGTGGTCGGTCATTCAGCCTCTGCTCGAGAACCACTGCTGTGGGGATATCAGCTGCCTCCCCAAGATTGTCCCTTTTGCTTGAGGATAGTTCCAGTTCCTAGGAAGTTTTTCCTGTTAGCAGGCCTTAATTTATCTCTACCACATCCACCCATTGCTTCTAGTTCTGCCTTTGGGGTGGACAAGTCTAGTTACTTTCACCCACATCAGCCCTTTCAGTACTTGATAGTTGTCATGCACCCCCCCCCAATTCTCCTGTTCTCCAGTAGGCACTCAATATTGTTGAATGACTGATTTCATACTAATGACCACAGTACAGAATTAATGCTTGACTCGTAGACTTATGCTGCCTAGGAAAACCTACCCATAGTATAGGTGCAGGATAGGCGAACAAACAGATAATATTCAACTATTCTGTAAACCCTTGCTAAAATTTTAGAACAAGGAAGCAGAGACAACTATCATGTTTCACCAGTTGGCTAAACCATATAAGAGTAACCTTATATAGCAAAACCTCATTTATTTGGACTGACTTGGTGAGGCTGAGTTAATGAAAAGTCTGAATTTTGGATGGATGGCCTTTAAAAAAAAATGAAATTTTTAAAAAGATGAAATTTTTATTACTTTCAAGCAAGACACATAACCCCAAACTACAGTCAGCATGGGTGCTAATAGTAAAATGGGCTAAGCTCATGAAAAACTAGAATTAATCTTATAGAATCTTTCCATCTATGGTACATTATTGGGGATTATATTTCATTTATTTCAAAGTACATGAATTAATTTTTCAACTCAGAAGTTGAAGGAATATTTTATTTCTTGGGCCTTGGCGTAATACTGTAGATTTTAGACTATGTTTCCCCTTCTTGTAAATGACATTCCAGCTGTTTCTACAGAGAGAGAAATCATTTACAATTTTTACAGAATGTATGATTTCGTTAGGGTAGGAAGCTCCCTGGGAAGCACTTTCTCTACCAGTTTTTTAGTGTTTTTACTGTAGAATTCATTTTATTTTCCTGTGCCTTTTTTTTTAAATTAAATTTTATTTTTTACTATTTAAAAGCTATAGCACATCTGGATCATTAAGATCCAGATCAGTAGGATGTGACAACGTATGTTTCTTGCGTATTTCTCAGAAGAGTTTTTAGGACTGGAACAAACTTTAACCATCATACTAGTGCAGTCCACTCCTTTTACAGATGAGAAAAAAAGAAAAGAGAGGAATGACTTTGATGATGGTCACACAGGTAGTGAGTGATGTAGCCAGGATTTAAATTCAGACTGGGCCCTCTGATTCCAAATCCAAGTGCTACATCTACTAAATTTTGCAATCTGGTCCAGAATTTTGTATGTAATCAGAACTAACAACATAACCCATTTTACATCTGATACCCCTTTTTTCTCGGCCTAACACCCTAAATACAGCTAAGAGCAGGAGTTCTTAACTCGTTTGGTGTCGCAGATCCCTCTGGTGCTAGAGTGAAGCCTGGGACCCTTTCTCAGAACAATGTTTTTAACGAGTAAAATGCAAAGAAAATCAGTTACATTACTGCTGCTGCCCAGTTATTTTTTAGTTATTTTCATCTCTTCCTGACCCCATTTGGGCTTTTCTTGGCAAAGATACTGCAGTGGTTTGCCATTTCTTTCTCCGGCTCATTTGACAGATGAAGAAACTGGGGCCAACAGGGTTAAGTGACTTGCTCAGGGTCACATAGCTTGTAAATGTCCAAGGCTGAATTTGAACTCAGGAAGATGAGTCTTCCTGTCTCCAGGCCCAGCACTCTTTCCACTGATTGAAATACAGATATTAAAAATTTTTAAACAAGTTCACAGACCACAGAGTTACCATTTACTGTTTTGGAACAATTCCAGGCACCAAAAGCACCTTCTGATGTGCCCAACTTATCTCACTGACAAAATGAGGCAGTGACTCATTCTTTCATTAGTCATTACTATAAGGTAGATGGGAATGTAGAAGGTGCAAGATGAGTATTATATCCTACCATTCAGTAACACAACTTCTGGCTCTCCAGTAGACTTGTTCAAAAGAGCCTTCCATCTTACTACCTAGTTAAGCTTTTTTAACCATTTCCCACCCCTCATGATTTAGGCTCCAATCCCTATAAGGACTGCCTGGGTGGCAACTAGCTTATGATACATTGCTGTGTTCACTGCAGAGGTCAATAAATATTGATTTTTATGATGAAACATAGTGATTTTTCCAGTGTCACAGAGCAATTCTGAGATATTACATAGTAGTTGTTACTTTCAAAGAGCTGTGACCCATAGGGAAAGTCTGCCTAAAGTGGGTTTGGAATCCTTTTTTTGGAGATGTTTACAAGGAGGATAAAAATGGATCTCTCTGTTCTCTGGGCATTCCATCCACGGTAGAAATAGGTTCCTAGGTTCCATATCCTCTCAAAATCCCCAAAAGCATTTCAGATATCATGTCCTTATAATGAGTACAGGTGTCTTAGTATTGGCTTGACTTTCGGTGGTGCCAGCTCTTCAAATTCTGCAAATACTTCTAGTATATGTCTGGCTATATGCTCTCTCCTGTTTCTCCCCAACCCTGACAACTTTCAGAAAAATTCTTCTGGCTTTTACACAGTCACTTTTGCTCATCACCATCCTTCATAACCCAGGTTCTCAACCCTAGAGGCATCCTCAACTTCCCCAAGAGTCATTCCCCCACCCCTACATAGCCAGTCCCTTGTCAAGTTTTATCAAGTCTACATTTGCAGCATCTCTTGCATTCTTCCCCTTCTCCCCACTCACACAGCTACCACTCCAGTTCAAAGTCCTTATTACCACTAGCCTGGAATATTTTTAAGTTTATTTTCCAATTAATAAGCATCTATTTTTTCTCCCTCCCACTCTACCCCCAACATACATACTTAAAATGTTTTTAAAAGAAAAATAAAGTCCTCCTATCCCTCCCAATACAATATTGATTTTTATGATGAAACCCCTTGTAACAAAAACAGATAGTCAAACAAAATGAATTCCCATATTGGCCACATCCAAAAATGTGCGTCTCATTCTGCGTATTTAGTCCATTGCATCTCTGTTAGGAGGTGGCTAATATGTTTCATCATCGGACCTCTGGCATCATGATTGATCATTGCACTGGTCAGAATTATTTGGCCTCCATGCCTCAAGCCTTCTGCAGTCTACTCTCCACATAGCTGCCAAAGTCATATTACCTCTAGATGTGTCTGACCACATCATTCCCTTGTTCAAAAATAAACTCCAGTAGTTCCCTATTGTCGTTAATATCAAATGCAAGCTTCTCTGCTTGGCATTTGTAAGCCATTCACAACCTGGCTCCAACCTGCCCTTCACACGTTCCAAAGTGCGGTCCAAGTGGCCCTTCGACAGGTGATCTATTCCCCATGACGAGAATGCCCACCCTTCTCACCTCTGCCTCTCAGAATCCTTTCAGGGCTCTACTCAAGCACTGCCTTCTGCATGAGACCTTTTCCAACTCCCTCTCTAGTTGCCGATGGCTTCCCCCCAAAAAAATTACCTTGTATCTGTTTTGTATATCCACACAGGTTGTGTCTTTGATAGACTGTAACCTTCTTGAGAACAGGAATTATTTCATTTTTATCTTTGTATCTCCAGTACCTGGCATATTCCAATTGCTTTTAAACGTTTATTGCTTTGATAATTGATTGGTCTTTTTGGCTGTTAAACTATTTGGGACATCCTGGACTATAGTAACCCAGACAACCATCCATCTTTGCTTTGTTCATTTGTTCAGTCATTTCTGACTCTTTGTGACACCATGGACTTGTCCGTGGGGTTTTCTTGGCAAAGATACTGGAGTGGTTTGCCGTTTCCTTCTCCAGTGTGTCCCCATTTTACAAAGGAGGAACTGAGGCAAATAGACCTTAAGTGACTTGCCCATGATCACACAGCTAATTAGTGTCTAAGGAGGTATTTGAACTCAGATCTTGCTGATTCCAGGCTTGTTGCCCTATACACTACACTACCTAGCTGCCTCACAATTTGGAACTGAGTGAAACCAACAATAACCTGGCTCCTAGCCAAAACTTTAAAATCTCTTTCTTCCTTGGAAATAATGAAGAGAATTTTTGTTTCTGTACTCTTCCAGAGCGGTCATAAACTTCTTTAGTCTCATTCACACACACACACACACACATTTTTTTTCCACAGTTTATTTTTTAGCATTAATTTTTCATTTTGAGTTCTACATTTTCTCCCTCTCCCCACCCCTCCCCCAGCCATTGAGAAATCAAGCAGTATGATACCTATTAGACATATGAAGTCATATAAAACATATTTCCATATTAGCCATGTTCCCATATCTTATTTTAAACACATGGAAATTTGGTCTTGTTGGACCAAATTTTTGAAAAAGCATGTTTTATTCAAGTGGCTAATATGTGGATCCTACCCTAACTCGCCCATACTTGGAAGAAGAAACAGCATTCATCACTTTCTTTCTCATAAAGAGGTTTATAGAAAAGTCAGCTCTCTGTGGTCTAAGGTCTGTATCAGAAAGGATTGGTTTGGTGGTTAACACGGAAAACCAGTGTGTTGGTTGGAGAGAAAGCATATAGACCTTTGCAACAGTCAAAGCCAGCAGCTTTGACTGTCCTATAAATAGGTCAGCCCGGCAGAGGTTTGTATTATAACATATCAGTCTGAGCTGTCAAACCACTTTCAAAAGATAGATCTGTGGTGGGGCTTTTTTTTTTCCCTAAAGGGTCCTTCATTTAGTTGATGCATTAGTATATGACAGGCTAATTCCCTAAGGAGAGTGGGACCAGATTCCAACTCTCTTTGGCAAAATGAATTCTAGCCAGTCTGAAATGACATGGATATCAGCGGCAGCCAGATAAAAACTTTACATGACAATTGGAGAGAGGGAGGATAAAAAGGAAAAAATAACAGAAAAACAGCATGGTAAAAGTGATTGACTACAAAATAGAATAAACCACCCCCAAAAAGTCACATTTGTGTTACATTATTCTCTTCCTCACACTCTCCATTTGCATTATGTTGTTAACATAATATGAATCAGGGTGATAAGTTTTCAACAGCAATATGTTAGTGGCGTTTGTAAGAAATTCTAGTGAAAATATACAAACAGATTTAAAATCACAAGGTCCTAGTAGAAAATCCATTGGTCATCTGTCTCATTTAAAAGACCAGGTCTGCAATAAGGTTTTTATTTTTTCCTCTTTTGTTTCCTTGCCCCTGTTCTGCATCTTCTTCCTGCCTAGTCCACTTGCCCTTTGAGACTGAAACTCCTTAGCAAATTTTATCTTGAATGCTGTGCTTTCATGCCAGTTGGAATATTTGGTTTCAGAGCACGTCACTGATTGCACGTGTTGTGTATGCATTTGCAGAGTGAAAGGAGAAAAGGAGACAAGAGTGAGAAATGTTAATTCCACAATACTAAAAGGATTTGGGGGGGAGGAAAAAAATTGTATGTATAGGAACGTTAGCACATATGGTGTAAAAAATTAATTAGAATCACAGACTACAACCTTAATGATGAAAGGCTTTTTGCTGTGTGTTTAAATTTTTTTTCTTTGAATAAGACAGACACTAATTGGAGAAAATAATTGGTGATATTTATTTTCTATAACCACCTAAACAGCTGTAGGGTATTAAGTCCCCCTGGAGGCTAGTTTTTAGAATAAGGAGGTGTCCAGGTAATGAATATGTTTTATAGACTTCAATTGAGAAGTAACATGCTGTATTGTTCCTGAGAAGGAAGGCTGCTTAGCAGAATTACCTTCACTACCCCCTCCTATTCAGTCCATGAGCAAATACTTGTCCAGTGTCTACCATGAGTCAGTGCCCAACTAGAGTGACATAGACTACTGGGTACATGAAAAGACATAAGTTCCCTCTAAGCCAATCTCTTTTACTTATAAGGCAAAATACACAGGGCCTTAGGGAGTATGATTTGAGGGGCAGCCAGAAACGCCTTCCATCCCCACCTAGCTCCCTCATTGATGTTGGAACTTTTACCATTTGCCATTCATTCCTTTGTGTCAGTCATTCTCTTCCCCAGGCTTTCTGATTTAAAATGCAAATATCCCTTACTGAGCTTACCCATCAATTTATTCACACTGAAGTATTAAGCTCTTAATCAGTTGCTTTCCTTTCTGACTCAAGTGACCAATGAGAGAAGGGGTGAGAGGCAGCATTAGGATAATGGGTCCCTGTAGGGAGAAGAGATATTAAGAGTGAGGGAAAGGGCAGATGGGAGAGGTAGCAGAGGTTAACCATCCTATCAGTTTGTCCTCAGATTCTGGGAGGAGATTATAAGCTCTGAGTAAGGCTGATTGAGATCAGTAGTTTTCTTTGTGAAGCATTCAGGCTCCTGACTTTTTTTTTCTTCCTTTTAAAGTGATGATGAATTTTTCTTTTTTTGTTCTTGGGCCTCCAAATATATCTCTCTCCCCTGTAAGTTCCTTTGTAGCAAAGATTTAAGTGGGGGGAAGGACAGTTCAGTTAGATCTACCATTTCTGACAGGACATGCAGTATTCTACCCACCCGAACCAAGAAGGGAAGGAGATGCATCCTCTCATTTCTTCTTGGGAGCCAAGCTTGGTCATTATTATTGTTGTTATTATCATTATTACCATTGTTATTATTATTATTAAGTTATAATGGACAATGGTACATAATATAACTAAGATAATTATATAATTTTATATAGTATGTAATTAGTTATATTGTCATTATAATTGCCAGCTTCATTTTTATCATCCTTTTTGTTTACAGTGTTGTAGTTATTATGTGTGGTTTTTTCCTTAGTTCTGCCTACTTTACTCTTCTTCAGTTCATATGGTTCCTCTATGCTTTAGCATTCTTCATATACATAATTTCTTAGGGTGCAGTAGTATCCTTTTCCATTCCCCAAATCCTGCTTGTTTTCCAGTTTTTTCTACCACAAAAAGTGCCTCTTAGGGGAAAGGATGTTTTGCCTTTTTTTTTTAAAATCAGTGCTTAGCACAGTGCCCAGTACTCCACAAAATGCTTGATAAACATTAGCTGACTCACTTAGGAGTGGGCATACATGGGACCATTCTTTCTGACTTTAACCTCTGTGAGAGTTAGCGTCGAGCAGTCGAATCTCTGGGTCAGAAGGTTTAGTTGTTTTAGTCCCTCAGAGGCATTTTATAATGCAACAAGAAGAGCTTTATCAAAGTATCTCTTTTCTTACATACTTATGTGCTTATCAATTTTCCTTTCCCCCTTTTGCAGAAATGGGAGCAAATTGAGAGCAATTCGAAATTGAGGCACGTCGGAAGCAACTTGTGCCTGGACAGCCGCAATGCCAAAAATGGAGGCCTGAGCGTGGAGGTCTGCAGCCCATCCTTATCACAACAGTGGAAGTTCACACTTAACCTGCAGCAGTAGGAGGGCCGAGGAAAACCACACGAAACCCAGTGAACGCCGTCACGTTTCCAACACATCGGGCAGAGTTTTGCTGATCTCATTACCGATTATATTTCTTAAACTTTCCACAGAACTATATACCTCAGTATTCCATCATGGTCTGAAAATAAGAGAACCGCAACAGCAAGGCCCAGGGGAACTGTGTGGACCAGGGGACAAGGGGAAATGCCGCTTTCCTTATCTCACCAAACACAGTGGCTGCCATGCTCCCTCTTCTCCGTGAGCCCTTTGCCATTTCTTTCCTCGCTCCTGCCTAGCACTCGCACAAACGGTCGATTAACATCCCTAGCAACAACTGACATACTATAGGAAAAATGGATCTAAACACATACAGTCTGGGGAATTAGGGAGGGAGAAAGGGGTGTAGTTAACTTTCTCACTGAGAAGATCATTTTTAAAGCTCCATTTTTTCCCCCATAAAAAGCATATTTACAGCTTCTGAAAACTGAACTGTCATTTTGAAAGTTTATGGGGGTTTTTTTTCTTCCCCTTCACCTCCCTTCCTAGCCCTCTTCCAGTCCTGAATCCCCTACTCCCATATAATGTACTTGCTATATTTGAATATGAACTTTTCTATGATGGGATTCTAAATATAAATATATATTAAAAATATGGTCAGTTCCCAGTGGTTTATATGGGTCATCATCATCATCATCATCATCATCATCATCATCATCATCCTTATCCTTGTCAATTCTCCAGAAGTCTGTTCATACATGTGAAAAGAAGAAGAGGGGCTTGAACCCAGTCATGAAATGCAGCTCTGTTCTGACAGAGGGAGAGAGCCTCACCTGTTTTCTGGGGTCTTCCCATGAGTGGGTGCTTCTCAACCAACCCAGGACACAGAAGGCAACAGAAGAGGAAAGGGAAGCATCATTCAGGGCCAAGACCCAGCCCTCCTCATCCCAGCAGCATCCATGTCTGGCATTGACTTTGGGTTTGCTGCTGTGACTTGGAGTTCACTCTGTGTGCTGTCAGTATCTGTAAACCTGTATCAGTTACTTGTATTGAAGAATATTGCTTTTGGTCTTTTAAATTAAATTTCTTTTCTTTAAAAAATAAAAACAACCCCACAGCTCCCCATGTGAGTAATGGCACAACTTGCCATAGTCCTTTGACAGGTGCAGATAAATTATGTTACGTTATGTAGCCGTCACAATACCAGCATTGGTCTAATTACTTGAGTCCATGAGACTTGGGCCTTCAGAATTAATTGAGCTGCCAGCTGAATGTTTGTGATTAGTTGTTGTGGCCGAAAATAAATCCAGTTTACGGATTAGGTCTAATTGGTGCCCTAATATGTGAGTGGCACCATCGTGGTTAAAGTGGGCTCTGAATTTCAACCTGCCTTCTCCCCAGCAACATTATTGAAGTCCTTATATTGGAATACATCACAACTTTTCTTCCCTCTTTCTAAATGACTGCATCAGTGAACTTTGGGTAAAGAAAGAAGATGAATGGAAAAATAATGCCAGAAAATTTACTGTAATGAATTTGTGCACAAGATGAGAGCCTTTTGGTTTTAGGAAGACAATTTCTGTTTAAACCACAGAGTGATTATAACCCGTAGTAAGGGGTGTGTGTGTAGTGTGTGTGTGTGTGTGTGTGTGTGTGTGTGTGTAGGGGAAAATGACTGGGTAGTTACCTTAAGGGAAAAAATATCCTTCAGGTTTGTGTGATAGATCCTTCTCTAGGAGTTTTGTCTTTTGATGATATGGAAAACGATGACTGTTAGCTAACCCTTTGTAGTAAATGGGTTTTTGGTCCTCCCAAGGTCCCAGATTCAGAAAGCTTGGGGTGCCCTGCTGGAGGAATTGCTGCAGACTGCTCTGTGTTCATCAGGTCCACATTTGTGTCCCTTTTGAGAGGTAGGGTAATTGAGTGACAGGAACAGGTGGATTTGGGATATGGGAGGGCAGTGATAAATCAACTGTTTGGCCTTTTATCCCATCCCTGTCCAATCTACCTGTAGCAAGGAATGAACACTTTCATCCCATTCCTCCTCTCCATTCTCTCCCCACCCCTGTAAAACACCAAATTTATGAGCATTTATTAGTGTGATAATACAACAGAGAAATTTTCTAGGTTGTTTTTGGCCTGCAACTGTTTCCTTTCCACTCTGTCAACCCAGCCAGATGTATTTGAAAGGAAAAGGGCTGTATGTAGGTTCTGAATTCACTCTGCAGCAGGACGCAGGATGCTGTAACACGTTCCCATCTTTGGAGAAAAAAAGAACTTCAAATAGATCCTTTGGAGGAGGCTAAGGATAAGCTTCAAGATGATGTACGTGTGCAATCATATTGAACAAATACTTATGGGCAGGAAGCTCCTGCCCGGACGCACTTACTTCTGGATTCTGTTAACTGAAATCCCAGTCACTGATGAGCTATTGCTACTGTAAAGGGCCCCCCCCCATAAGTGTAGGGAAGTGTCTCAATTTGTCTGATTTTTCTTTTTGGAGTGGGGAAAACTAGGTTTCTTACTGAATCTCTGAGCCCCACCCTACCCAGAGTTCTTAATTGTCAAACCCACTGTACTGTAAGGATGTATCTACCAAACTCTGTGTTGTGGCTGCTGCCCAAAGAGGAGGTAAGTCTTGCTTGATTTCTTTCAGAGCTGGCAACCTTCTACAATATCATGAGCAGAACAGAGAAGAGAAAGAAGAAGAAAAAAATAACAGGTGTCCTATGTTATAAGCTATGTTTACATGACACGGTGTGCCAAAGTTACTTGCTGTGATTTAATTATTTTTTAAGCATAGGGATTATCCTGCCCCGATTTTTAAAAATTAAAATGAAAAATGCCCCTCTGCGAACCCTAAAGCAAAGTATGACAAAATTGGTCGTCTTCTCTGTGGTGGTCTTTCTTACTGTCTTCATAAGAGCTAAATGATGGTATATGTGAGTATGTTTTGCAAATTTCAAAATATAGTTTGTTAATTTTTTTTCCAGTTGATTTTTAAAAAAAAAAAAGAACTGCTGTACAGAGCTTGTACTTTGTTCATTTTATAGATGGAAACCATCCTTGAAAATTGTTTAACTTAAATAAAGAAGATCCTTTATAGATAAAGGTCTCTGCTGTGGTGAAGTTGTTCTTGATTCTCGTGTAACCTAGACGTGACTGGTGTTTGAAGGCTGCGGTGATTTCCCATACCCTCTTGCCATGGATCCATTTTTTTTTTGTCTAGGCAATGGGGTTAAGTGACTTGCCCAGGGTCACACAGCTAGTAAGTGTTATATGTCTGAGGCCGGATTTGAACTCGGGTATTCCTGACTCCAGGGCCAGTGCTCTATCCACTGTGCCACCCAGCTGCCCCCCGTATTTTTTCATTACATACTTCACACATTGTTCTGCCCTTTCGTGGTTCAACATAATAGCCACCAGCATTTAGAAAGCATCTACTATGTGCTGCTAGTTGCTGTACTAAGTGCTTTATAAAATATTCCCTCATTTGGTCTCCACAACCACCCTGGGAGTTTAGGTGCAGTATTATTATCCTTATTTTAGCATTGAGGAAACTGAAGCAGAGGTTAAGTGACTTGCCCAGGGTCACAAAGCTAGTAAATGTCTGAGGCGGCATTTGAATTTGGGTCTTCTTGACTCCAGGCCCGATATTCTATCTACTGTACCACCTAGGTTCCTCATCGGATACAGCTAAGCAATTATTATTTTGTTCATTTTAAAGCGTTTGAGAAACTGAAGGGCCTAGCTATGCCACCTCCTGCTTCATGCAGAGAGACTATGGTCACGTCAACCAAAGTCTATGCCTTAAGCAAGCACTAGCTTCTCTTTAGGCCTCCCTTTTAGAATAGATTATGCCCGCCTTTGGCTACTCCTCAGCCAACTCAGTAGCACTACCCAAGCTTGAAAAGGGACAAGAGAGAAGAAGCAGTTTATTTTTTTAATTTAATAATCTTGATAAAAGTTGTGGGGAGAGAGAGGCGTAGAATTGAATCACCTGGATGAATATCGTTGGGTCCTTTGCTAGTGCAATTATGCGCACTCTTCCTTTTCTTCATTATCTCAGACATGCAAAAGTTGGCTACCCTGTCTTTCCCCTGAGAAACAAAAAAGACGTCACCTAATTATGCAGTGCTCTTCACAGTACCTCTGAGAGAAGGGAGTGTAATCCCTGTTTTATTAAAGAAGTGAGTGGAGCCAAGTGCCATGTTCATCTGTGACGGAAGTTCTTTCCCCTAATTCAATCCTTTGATTCTTCAGTATGACTAGGCATTTTTCTTTTCAATTTTTTCTTTCAAGTCACTTCCAGGAAAAAAAAAAAATCTGTTCATAGCTCTTCCTGCCTATTGACTTAACACTCAGGGATATCTCTCTTTTCATATCTACCTTCTTATACATTTCTTGATACTTTACTAATAATACTCCGTGAGTTGTGTTCAGAATATAGAGAGGGACTCTTCCTCAAAGAACTTGCACATCTGAGAAGTACAGACCATATTCGCATTTTGTAAACTGAGATCAAGACACAGAAAAATTAGCGTCCCCCCCAGTCACAAAAATCACACTCTTTGGCCATCTGAAAAACCCTTTTTAACCAGAAATTATGTATCCAAATATGTAGTCCCCTCAAAGTAGTCACCTGGTTCTTTCAATGTTGCTACCATTGCTAGAAACATTTTTCAGACTTCTCTTTGAATATTGCCTTCAAAGAGGCAACCTGGTGTAGTAAGGTGGAGAGCCAGCCTTGGAGACCCAAAGATTTGGGGTCCAGTCCTGACTGACACATGGCATTGTGTCCCTAAGCAAAGCACTTAACTGTTCAGTATCCCCAGACAAGTCTGTATGAATCTTAAACTGCAGAATAGTTACCTGTTGACCTATATTCAGTCTTTGCTTACCAGTAATTCCCTATATCTGTTAAATCACAAGTCCAGAAAAAAATAGCATGTCCCTAGAAAGAAAATGCCTCCCTTCTCTCTTCACTGGGGAGGTAGAAGGTCTATGGGTGCAGATGGAACATTGTGTTTACTCTCAGATTCAGTTGTTGTGTTAATTTGGCCAGAATGCTTCTTTTTTTTTTTCCTCTTATTTTTTTTAATTACAAGATATGGCAGGGAAGTTGTTTAGTCACTTTCAGTAGTGTCCAACTCTTTGTGTCCCCATTTGGGGTTTTCTTCCAAAAGGTACTAGAGTGGTTTGCCATTTCTTTTTCTAGCTGTTTTTACAGAGGAGGAAAGTGAGGCAAAAAGGGTTACATGACTTGTCCAGGGTCACACAGCTAGTAAGTGTCTGAGGCCAGATTTGAACTCAGGAAGATGAGTCTTCCTCACTCCGGGCCCAGAACTCTATCCACTGTGCTACCTAGCTGCCCAAATCAGGAAATGGGGAGGGATAGATTCAGAAATAAAGGTGGTGTGGAAACAAAAGATGTCAATAAACATTACTGAGAAGAAAAAGAAAATTGCTTTAAAAGCCCACAGTGTTTTCTTCTGAATTTTTTCAGTTCCTTGCAGGCAGGAAATCAAGTCATTTAAGGGTAGAAACAGGTGACATTTACTTTCAAGAGGCTTACAGTCTAGTGAGAAGGAAGTAACTGATATAAGGGAGAATGAAATAAGTACAAACAGACAGGTTCTAGAAGTGATAAGAAGCTGTTTGAACAGGAGAAAATCATTTTCAGTTCAGAAGACCAAGGGGGTCAATGGTTAGAGAAAGTTTTATGGAGAAGGAGCTATCTAAGTTGGCCCTTGAAGATAGGGCCACACATTGTTGGGGAAGGGTAGAAATCTATTCCAGGCATGAGAGGGGATTGTTACATTAACTGTATGGAGGCAGAGGAGAACAGGACAAAAATGGGATACAAAGTGCTCCAGTTTGGCTGAAACCATGGTGGAACATAATGGAATAAGTAATTTCCCAGAAGGCTGGGAAGATAGGCTGAAGCTATATTGTAGCAGACCTTGACTGCCAGAATCATGAGCTTAATACCTTAGTAGGGAGCATGAGGCCACTTAAGATGTTTTAGGAAAGGACTGAAATGGTTAGATATAAGGGAAATGATATGCCACAGAATGAAGGCTGTATTTGAGAGAGGAGAGACTATGCAGGGCTTCTTAAACTTTTTCCACTCATGACACCTTTTTGTGTTTCAGCAGCATTAGTCGGTGCTGCATGGTCGTGAGTGACAGCATGTGCAATGCAAAGTGCACATGGTGTGTGTTCAGAACCAGGGCTGCAGTGAAGGCGCACAATGCAACACAGGCAAGAGCCGCCAGAAACACCACGGATTCGTTACTTGTTTGATTTTTAATTAATGTTTGGTCTTTGCACATTCAGAAACTTTTTTATGTTGCCAAATTTTTCAGGATCCCATATGGGGTCCTGACCCACAGTTTAAGAAGTGTTGGAGAGGTTATAATAATTAGGGGAGGAAAAATGCAGATCTCAGCAAGGATGTTGCAGTAGGAGAGTAGGTGGCAGACAAAAGGTAATTTGGAGATAGAATTACCAGGACTAGATAACTGATTAAGCATGAGGAGTGGAGAAGGACTAAGATAACTCCCAGGTCACGAGCCTGAGTGACTGGGATGAAGGTGGGTAGCTGAGCTCCATGTTGGATGTGTTGAGTTAGAGGTCTAGGTAGATCTATCCAGAATGCAGAAGGAAATACAGGAAATTAGCTCCCTGGAGGCTAAAAACAGATTTAAGAGTCATTTGCATAAAGGTAACAGTTGAATCCATGGTAAATGAATGAGA